AGATGAGATTCGCTATATTGAAGCAAATGCCCCCTTATCACTTTGACACTCAAGTTCTTATTGTCATTGCCTGTTGTACATTGCATAATTTCATAAGATCCCAAGGTGAATCTGATGAATTTTTTTATTCTGAAACCCCTCAATCTTCACAAAATGAACCTGATGTAGATGACGATGTTCAGGTGGTCAGTGCTACTAATACAAGATACGACAGATGGATATTTATCGTGATGGTATTGCCAACCTAATTTGGGAGCACTGTAATCACTAATTATAAAACTGTCTAATAGTGTGTAGAATTTTAATATGGATAACTGTAATAACTAATTATATTACGTAAATTAAACTCAGATGCTCCTTATTTATGGATAACTGTAATAACTAATTATATTAGGACATCAAATATTAAATACTTTAGTACTTGTAGGCGCACTTATGTATAGGCTTGAAGTTGAGCGACCACAATGTGCATGTGATAGAGGTCTTATGCATCTGTATAGGGCTCGAACTCCAAAAAATGATAGTCGACAATTCTATAGGTGTCCAGCTCGGGAGGTATGGTTTTAAACTTTTAGGTGCTATTTCTGTTACTGTTTCCTAATTGTATAATTTATATTTCTTGTAGTCACATATGAATGCATTTATGTGGGTGGATGAGTTGCACCAAGGTGCACAAGTTGAAGAACAGGTTCAATCTGACTTGGACAGAGTCATTGCAATGATTCAAAATGAACAATGTAGATAGAAGTACATACTCTTCCTAGATTGTGGATGTCTTGCTATCACAATCATATTTATTATGATTGTCCTCTTGTTATTCATTATCGTTGTTACTGAAAGATGAAGTTAAATAAACTTCCATCTTTTGTAATATATGACATGTAATACGTATTTAGTTAATTTTCTGTGTTTCATTTGGTATGTAATATATACTTAAATGGTATATTTTGAACTGCGTATTAGTTGATGTTGTGTTATCTTCTCTGTCATTTTGGGAGTGAGCTTTAGGGCATTTGTAAAATTTGCTACTGAGGTCATTTACACTCTAAATTTGCAACTTAGTCTGAAAAAAGGTTAGATATATCTTGTTTACTACTTCTAATTATTTCATTCCTACCGTGTGTTATGTGTTATTTTGTTTTTATCTAATGTTGTTCATGTGTTTTGTTTTGCATGAGGTCATTTACACTTTAAATTTACAACTAAACCTGAAAAAAGGTTAGATATATCTTATTTACTACTTCTAATTATTTCATTCCTACTGTGTGTTATTTTGTTTTTCTCTAATGTTGTTCATGTGTTTGGTTTTGCATGAGGTCATTTACACTTTAGATTTACAACTAAGCCTGAAAAAAGGTTAGATATATCTTGTTTACTACTTCTAATTATTTCATTCCTATCGTGTGTTATTTTATTTTTATCTAATGTTGTTCATGTGTTTTGTTTTGCATGAGGTCATTTACACTCCAAATTTGCAGCTTAGTCTGAAAAAAGGTTAGATATATCTTGTTTACTACTTCTCATTATTTCATTCCTACCTTGTGTTATTTTATTTTTCTCTAATGTTGTTCATGTGTTTTGTTTTGCATGAGGTCATTTACACTCTAAATTTGCAGCTTAGCCTGAAAGAAGGTTAGATATAACTTGCTTGAATTAAATTTATGAACGGTGTCCCTTGTTAATTGAATTTTGTGGGCGGTATCCCTTGTTAAATGAATTTTGTGGGTGGTGTCCCTTGTTGAAATAATTTTGTGGGCGGTGTCCCTTGTTAAATGAATTTTGTGGGCGGTGTCCCTTATTGAATTAATTTTGTGGGCAGTGTCCCTTGTGTTTATTGTGTTTTGAAATTTTGAAAATGTCTATTTTAAAGGGGAAATCATGCCGGATTTTTTAAAAATAAAATAAAATAAATTGAATTTAACTCTGTTTTATATTTTGCTACTATAGGTAATGTCTTGTTTTACATTCAAATTCATTTTTTGCTACTAGAATGAAGGACATGGCAGTAAGTTGTAGGCAGTGGCACCAGTGGGATTGATAGGAAGCATTCTCCAGTTGCTGCAACTCCAGAAAGCTAATGATCTCTAAGTTAATCAAATGGAGTCCTATGCAAGTATAAAGAAGTGGGTGTACATTTTATGGAATGAATATTAGTGATCTCTAGTTGTGTGTACATTTTATGTAAGTGTAATGAAGTGTGTGTATATACACATATTATTTTTAAGAAATGTCTAGCTCCTTATATGTGGACGTATATATGTGAATGGTGCAACACTCAAATTCTTAAGATTGTGACGTACAAAGCAAAACTATATATGGAAGTATATATGTGAATGTTGTTCAGTCTTGTAAGAGGGATCTTCCTTGATTGCTTGCTTTTAATCTTTATTTATATTTATCAATTCTGCTTATGGTTGGATATTGTATGAAATATTCACAAGTTCGTTATCAAAATAAATACTCAACAAAAGGGTAAATGGTCTCATGACTAAATAAAAAAAATATTACCAATTTGAAGGACATCCACTACAAAATTTCAAATTAATTTAAGGGAAGTCAAACTATTCACAAGCTTCAATGTCCACCAAATCTCAACTCTGACCAATTCAAGAAGATCGACGTTTTGGCTTTGTTTCTTATTAGTTTCAACTACAAGGATCTCTCTCTCTCTCACATTCATCATGAATTTATATAATATATATATATATATATATATATATATATATATATATATATATGAAACAAAACAAAGTTAAATGGAATGCAAGCCAAAAGAAAAAGATAAATGGAGTGCAAAGATCTACTCTCATTGAAAGATTATTACAAAGTTAGATTTGTAATTTGGTTGCCATTAATCATGTTTATGCAGATTTATACATTATTACAAAATTTAAGATTTGTAGTTTGGTTGCCACTATACATGTAAATTTATTCATAATTTTTTTTTCCAACTCTAATGCAGAATATATATATATTTTTTTTAACAAATTATCTCAAATCATAAAGAAAAATAGACTATTTACATATAAACTTATAATTGTATTCATATATATAATTTTTCAAAACAAAAACAAAATAGTCTTTACTAAACAGGTATTCTGTTATTAATTCAGAATTTTTGATAACAAAACACCTAGTCCCAAAACGTGTTTTGTTTTCGGATTCCTTAAAACGCATGACAATACCAAACGCGTTATCATGTTTCTGATACACAATTATCAAAAACAAAACAATCGTTACCAAACATGGATCCTATTTCTACTAAAAACATACCAATACCAAAACGGTTGTTTTCATATCATACTAAACCATAACATATAATGTATCGTCATCCAAACGTATCCTTGGACTTACCCTTTTGTGAGATTTTTTCATATTATTATTACTATTACTATTATTATTATTTGTTGAATGGTAAAACAAATATACACATTATATTTTGTTCTGAAACACTCAACCTCTCCGAAGAAGAGAGAGAGCTCATATGGATTTTTCCACATTGTAAGCCTTTTTACTTCAATAAAGGTGAGTGGGTAATCTTTGTGCCCGACACCGGAGACGGTGTTCTTCTCGTCCGAAAAGGGAATGTTTTGCTCTTGAGCCAAAAAAAGAGCGAGTTCCCTCTTAGCCCGCAAAAGAGGGGGTTTTGCTCTTGAACCCGAAAAAGGAGCTTGTAGTGGTTTGTTTTCCACGTGCAAGGAAAGCTCAATAGTGGAATCCTCGATAGGTTTTCTTGAAGCATGGATGTAGGCGACTAAGAGAGGTCCCAAACCATGTAAACTGTGGTGTACTTTAAGTTTGCATTTCTCTAACCCCTAACTCTCTCTTATTTTGCTAAGAAAAGCCCAATAATGGAATCCTCCAGAGATTTTCTTGAAGTATGGATGTAAGTGACTAAGGGAGGCCCCAAACCATGTAAATGTGGTGTACTTTGAGTTTGCATTTCTCTAACACATAACTCTCTCTTATTTTGCCAAGGAAAGCCCAATAGTGGAATCCTCCAGAGGTTTTCTTGAAGTATGGATGTAGGTGACTAAGGGAGGTCACAAACCATGTATACTGTGGTGTACTTTGAGTTTGCATTTCACTAACCCGTTACTCTCTCTTATTTTGCTAGTTAAAGTTTTACTTACCTCTTCACTAGTTAAATTCCCATTTGCATATCAACTGTTTTTTAATGCAACAAGATTTCTTTTAATTAAAGAGGATAGGATGTATGCTTGGGTTGTGTTGTGGAATTAAAGAGATTATTGCTTGAAGTATTCACTCTTAAGTTTGCATTTCCGGTAGATTAAACTACATGCACACCAAATGTTCGATGAAATGATTTATGGACATTGTCATCACTTTATGTCTTTTAAATGTTGCATTCACATGTGCATTTCTATTACTTGAATATATTCACTCACTAAGAGGTTGATAAGAGGCCCTGAATTTCTCAAAATTACTAAATTTGCCTTATATTGAAAATTTTAACAAAATAGTTAGATTTATGAATGGGAGATGATAGTGGCGCTCCAACAAAGTCCTCTTATGCTCTAACTTATTTTTATTAATAAAGCAAGCGAGTGGACTGCCCTCTTCTTTGTTCAATCCATTTTTAAATTTTTTTGTAAACATTATTTATTTGTCAAGTGTGACCCCAAGCACAAATTAAGACATTAACATTACAAGAGATAAATCTAAATTGCTTTAGTTACTAGTAAACAAGATGGAGGGCCGGTGGAGTCAGGAATTTGTTTTAGAGATCATAATAAAATATTTTTTCCCACTATAAATGCAGCGAAATGCAAGCTGAAAAATAGAACTATAAGTAATTATTTAAATCCATATTTTCTGCAATAATTCAAAAAAAAATTGCTGAAAAAAATATAAAAACATAAACGATGAACATTAAGGAATAACTACAAGCCCAAAAAAAAAAAAAACACACACACACACACTCTCTGGCCATACAAAAATATTCTATATAAACAAATATCCCTTCTATCTGCTATTTATCATGGACAGAATGTAATAACATAGTTTGGTCCACCAGAGCAAGTGAAAGTGCTAGTTTTATCATCGTAGGCATAACTATAAGCCTGAGGACACTTCCCTTTCATATACTTTGAGTAGTCAGTTGGTGGACAAGTATCTGGTGAGCCAAAAGCCCCAGTGCAACAATACCGTGACTGATTAAATGCTAGGCATGCACTCTTGCAACCAACTGTGGCACCATCTGAATTTTTCAAGGCAAGTTCTGCTGGACAATCGGCATTGACATCGACCGGGCATGCCGTGGCGTTGCAGTTATCGGATCCGCCTACAGGGGTGACGGAAACCGGCAAGTTAAAGCCGTCCACCAGGCTAATGTCGTAAAAATCTTTTCCCTTGTAACCTGCTAGGGTTAATTCTACTAGGGTTGCCGGTGGAATTCCACCGGCACCATTACAACTTATCTGGCCGGAGCTACAGTCGCCACTCTGACAGGTGAACTTTCCACTAGCGTTCACAGAGCAAAAAGCCCGCGCCCAAAACCTGCCTGACCATGAGGCCGGTGCGTCGAGGGACAATGAAGCTTTGGATGCTAACTCGAATCCAGTTGACGATAATTGAGCATCACGACCAGTGAGGGTTCCCGGCCAAATAGTGTAACGGCACTTATTTGTGAATGTAAATGTAACTGAGTGAGCCACTGCAATACAAAATGATACCATATAGAGTTTGCATGCGTGAATAGGCTTCACATAAAATTTAAAAATATATATATATATGTAGACAAAAGAAGTGTCCATTTATATATATATATATATATGTGGAAACCATTATAGTATTTGTAAGTTAGTTCATTTTATTGTTTAATTTTTTTCAATTACCAAATATAACTGTAACTCTATCAATTTCCTAATGAGATTATTATTCATTTCTTGCTCTTACAACTTTTTACTTCTCTGCACATCACCTTATCATTACAAATATAGGTTCTTTGAATACCACATATAGGATATTTAATATAAAAAATTTTGTCTTGAGATTAATATCATGAACTTGTGTTCGTAATAACTTATAAATAAAATAATAACAAAACAAAAACAGAAACAGAAACAAAACTTACAGGAAACAAAAATGGTAGCGAGAGCGAGTGCAACGAGAAGAAGTCTAGCATTCATCATTTTCTTTAAAGCTATGATATTGAGTTGTGTTATCTGTAGTTTTGTACTTCTGAAGTAGCAGGGTTATATATATATATATGTGTGTGTGTGTGTGTTCAAAAGCATATGTAACAACAACAAATAATTAGCCTTAAAAAACCTCAATCACGAGATAGGTTTCCTTTTTGGATTTTTAATTTATGCAACAATCACAAGATTTGGAGTACGTTTTGGATCTTTAATTTGGCATTGATTTTTTGTATTATTATTAGGAAAGAATATTATGTACGGAGTAAATTGATATTTTTACTGTGATCTAGAGAAAGTGCAATTATTACTGGAATTTGAAATTTTGGTCAAATTACAAATTACTGAATTTGGCAAATATTAAAAGTTTTAACAAAATTAACTTGATTTGTGGATGAAATTCAAACACGTCATGTCATTGAGTAGACGTTCATGAATTAATGGAAATAGGTAGAAAACATGTACCTTGACTGTGTTAACTTTTAGCATAATCTCTCTCTATCTATATATATACACTCACAACTGTTTTAAGGTAATCTGTATCTATGCACAGAAATGATCTTATGCTCACGGATGATAAGTGTGAAATTAATCCAAATGAAGTATGAAGCATGACAAGAGCATCTGCAGTGGTTTGTTAAAATATTTATTTGTATAAAATATACTATCACGTCGTTATTGTATAAAATTATCGTGTATTTTACATAGCCACATCAATAAATTTCATTTCTCCTCTCTTTTTATCATTCCATTAACGAATTAACTCTATATTAAATAGGTTTATAAAATTTAGGGTGAATTGCAAAAAATACCCCTCAACTATTAGCCGGTTGATAAAAACCTACTTCTAAATATTTTTGGTAAAAAAAACTCATCTCAACTATCCCAAGGGTCGTTTCGATCTCCTCCCTTTTTATTATTATATTAACGAATCAACTTTATATTAAGTAAGTTTATAAAATTTATGGCCAATTGTAAAAAATCCCCCTTAACTATTAAACGGTTGATAAAAACCCACTTATAAATATTTTTGGTAAAAAAATCCTCTCAATTATCCCAAGGGTCATTTCTCCTCCCTTTTTATCATTCCACTAACAAATTAACTCTATATTAAGTAGGTTTATAAAATTTAGGGAGAATTGCAAAAAACCCCCCTCAACTATTAGCCGGTTGATAAAAATCCACTTCTAAATATTTTTGGAAAAAAACTCCTCAACTATCCCGATGGAGTGTTTTTAGCTGATGTTCGTTAAGTGATTGTTTGAGGGAATTTTTCGGACGAAATCACCCCCTTAACAAATTATTTTTCAGACAATTTATTTATTTATTTTCTCTCTCTCCGTCAAGCAAGGTATGTAAAGCCACAAAGAAAAATTATGCAAAAGCATAAAAATGGAAAGTCAGTAAGATCATATTTAAGTTATGCATAATTAATAAAATAAAATTGAGTACAACCGCATGAAAGAGAAGATTCACCATGGCGTTGTAATAGAAGATGGAAAAATTAAGCAGCTTAAGAACTCCTTCAGTGCACTTGATCTTTAGCAACCATTATAACAGTTAATTATTTTAAGGAAAATAATTAATAATTTGTCATGTTTTCTTAGTTCAATTTCTTTCTTTTCCTTAATATAATTATGTTACTGCAAAGTAAGTTGGACTAAAATTGGCAATTAAAAAGTTACATAATTTCTTTTTCAAATCTGATTTTTTTTTTTTAAAAAAAAATTTACTTACTTCGAGAACACAAAATACCCCAAAGTAACTTTTTCTGACGAAATTATTGTAGTTGATGTACTAAAGTTAAAGACCCAAAAATATGAAAGTTTTTAATGTGAAAGGACATCGTTGCCCTCTATTCAAATCACAAAAATCTAATTATAAAGAATATTTGAGTAATTTAGTTTGAGAGAAATGCATTTATCATTTCATTGTATATTGTTTTCAAGGCTAATTAACGTTGAATTATGAACCCTTTTATTTGATTTTGTGGCTCTTGTAATTGTGCACTGTAATAAAATGATGCAGAATGAATCTTGTTGGAAGTTGAATTTTTGTATGAAATTCCTTATGCTAGTTACATTTGACATGATTGTTCTTCCAATGCAGACAATTTAAATTGCCTACAAATTTAAGGTAATTTAAAAGACATAATCACTCTTTTTTAACTTAGTCAGCTAACTCACTCGAACTAAGTCAAAATTGTCATCATTTTTCAATAATAAGAAGAAGAAGAAAAATAAATAAATAAATAAAGTAAGAATCAGACTCATAAGATGAAAATTATTTAACTTGGGGACTTGCAGCCAAATGGGGACTTCCTAGCTCCTACATTCATTAATTCTGGATTTTACGCTGCTATTTTCTTTTAGCTTGTTGGAAGTTTTGATTTGATTCAAATGATGGTCTCTCTTGGAGTGGTTTTTTGCTCAGTCGAGCCTCTCTTAGACCTTGGACAATGTGTACTAGTCTAATTAAAACTCTCATAAGAAAAGTAGATCACAAGAGTTTAATAAAATATTATAAAGAAGTGTAAATACAAGTTTTGATTAGATTGCAATATCAAGTGACTTATATATGGTTGTCGGCCATCTAATAATTTTTCATTTATCAAGCCTGAAGTCTTTGCGAATCCTTAATGCGTTTTTAATCCACATACGTAAGTTCATTCCATCCTTAGGCCTCCCCCTTTGTGAGATTTTTTCATATTATTATTGCTATTTACTATTATTATTACTTGTTGAATAGTAAAACAAATACACACATTACATTTTGATTTGAAACACTCAACCTCTCGAAGAAGAGAGAGAGTTATATGGATTTTTCCCCATTGTATAGCATTTTTACTTCAATAAAGGTGAGTGGGTAATCTTTGAACCCAACACTTGAGACAGTATTCTTCTCGTCCAAAAGGGAAGGTTTTGCTCTTGAGCCCAAAAAAAGAGTGAGTTCCCTCCTAGCCCACAAAAGAGGGGGTTTTGCTCTTGAACCCGAAAAAGGAGCATGTAGTGGTTTGCTTTCCACGTGCAAGGAAAGCCCAATAGTGGAATCCTGGAGAGGTTTTCTTGAAGCATGGATGTGGCGACTAAGGGAGGTCCCAAACCATGTAAACTGTGGTATACTTTGAGTTTGCATTTCTCTAGCCCGTAACTCTCTCTTATTTTGCTAAGGAAAGCTCAATAGTGGAATCCTCGAGAGGTTTTCTTGAATCATGAATGTAGGCAACTAAGGGAGTTCCCAAACCACGTAAACTGTGGTGTACTTTGAGTTTGCATTTCTCTAGCCCGTAACTCTCACTTATTTTGCTAGTTAAAGTTTTACTTGCATCTTCACTAGTTAAATTCCCATTTGCATATCAACTGTTTTTTTAATGCAACAAGATTTCTTTTAATTAAGGAGGATAGGATGTATGCTTGGGTTGTGTTGTGGAATTAATGAGATTATTGCTTGAAGTATTCACTCTTAAGTTTGCATTTTTGGAAGCTTCAAACTACATGCACACCAAATATTCGATGAAAGGGGCATTTTCAAATGTGGGTGTGACGGCTATGGGAGGTGTTGGTGTTGCTATAGGTGCATGTTCCAAGTCTCCACTTGCGGGGTCTCTTTTGGGTGTTAATGCGATTGTGGGGTCGGGTCATTCTGATGAATGTGTTCAGGAAGGGACGGGTGTGTATGGGTCGGCAAATAATGAAGTTTATGGCTCCCCCTCTCAGAGTTTTGTTGCTTCTGTCCATGTGGAGGAGCTCGTTCAATGTGTGCCCTCGGTTTCTCAAGGCCAAGGGCGGGTGTTACCTTTGTCCCAATGGGATCAACTTTCTACAGGTAGTAGGAAAGGTAAAGGCCCGACGGTGTCTCATAAAGGTCGTTCTTTTGCTTCGTCGGAATCCTCTCAAAGCCAGGGCTCTCTTTCCGTATGGAACAGTCGTAAGCGTCGCACTATTAATCCTGTGTTGGTTCCGGAATCCTCTTTGATTGATGGGAAGAAGACTAAGGTCTCAACGGCTCCCTTTACGAACTGTTTGGTCACGGATCAGTTTTCATTTGAAGCCGCGGGTAATATTCCTCTTGGTGCGCAGACTGGCGATTCAGTTAATTCAGAATTATCTCCATCGCAGTCTTTTGCTATGCAGCTGGCTCTTTTGATTGGTGATGTTCAACCTAGCATTGACACGTCACACTGATTTGTTGTATATGTTGTTTTTGCGGGGCTTTAGCTTTTTTGTGCCTTTGCTTGTTTGTTTCCTTTGTGTGGTTGTTTTGCTCTTTTGTGCTTGTAGATGTCGTAGGGCATTCTATTATTAGGTCCAAAAAAAAAAATGTTCGATGAAATGATTTATCCACATTCTTAAATATATTCACTCACTAAGAGGTTGATAAGAGGCCTTGAATTTCTCAAAATTACTATATTTGCCCCATATTGAAAATTTTAACATAATAGTTTGATTTTTAGATGGTGGCGCTCCAACAAAGCCCTCTTACGCTCCAACTTATTTATATTAATAAAGCAAACGAGTGGACTGCCCTTTTCTTTGTTC